ATCCATTTGGCTCCTTGAAGTGAAAGCAATTTTTAGTAAGTTGTGCAAAACTGTCCAAAGATTAAATTTAAAGGAAGCTTTGTTAATAACAAACAACAACACACTTCATATTGCACTGAAGAGTTCATCAAAATCCAGCTGTAGGCAAAGTCAGCATGTGTTGGATCAGTTCAGACTTCCTGAAATGCCATTTACAAGCAGTGAATTTCAGGTAAACCACACACTAAAAAGGAAGTGACACTAATGGAACAGGATTCACTACAATGAACTCCATAATACAAAACCATATTTAAAATCAGTGCAAGCAATTCTTGTTTTATGTAAACTATTCTACTGCAAAATTAGCTCATACGGCACACAGAACACTGCTAAAGCAGCATAAACACCTGGCTTGTGAAAAATACACTCTGGCAAGCAGGAGGCAACCCAGCAAAGGACACATTACCAATGTGCAGAGAGAAAGCTCCAGAAGATCTATTGCTTTGCCCTCACCATCCTAAAACACTTCCCAAAACAACTCAAGACACCTGTACCAAATCAGAATACAAACTGCTTCACTGCATAGCCACTGCAACCTTTAATAAGACATTGTATAGCAGCAAAATAAACCTCTTGTGCTGTTACTTGGAGAAAGGAAAATCCTTCTGCAGTCTTAATGAAATTTAATCCATAATCTCAAAACCATTGAGCAATTTCAACCTCTGCATAACATTTGCAGGAACACAACTATGCCTCTGTGCTCCCAAACTATACAGGATTATTTCACTACCTAAGTACACTGGCATCTTGGCTCTCAAGTCAATCCCTGTCTTGGCAGTTAAGGGCCAATTCCTAAATTGAACTCCAAGAGGGACAAGTCTGACCATATCAGAGTCATTGTAAAATTTCAGCACAAACAGGGTTGCATTTTACAGAAAGATTTATGTACCTGAAGTTTAAAAGCAGATCTGCCTGTTAATACATTGAGGGAGATATAGGACAACACAGATGGAACACACTTTTAAAGAAATTTTAATCCACTATCTCATGTCTGCCACAAGTCATCTGAGGCCCCTCCTCTCTTTGTATATTAATTCTAAAGTTTATCTGTTCCAAATGAGCTTTTCTGTCCATTTTCATGGCCTAGAAGATGACACTGCTTCCATCCTCTGCTTTGTGTCTAAGCGAACAGCTCAGCCTGCTGCAGCCTCAGAGCAGGGACAGGAGCTCTTCCCACCAACACCTCACCTCAAACGGGGCAGGCACCTGAGACTCCCCCGTTTCTACAGGCAGCACATGGCCTCAGGTCAGGGCTCTGTGCAAGGACAGCCTTAAACCACTGCACTGAACATAAAGCAGCAGAAAGCAGAATTTTTACAATGCTGAGGTATGTGTATTAAAATACTGTCTTAAATGAAATATTCCTCTGAATTTTAAGTCATATGATCAACTTTTTAATGCCAGGATTTGCATAATGAACCAAATTTAAACTTACATGTCTATGGTGAAATTAATTCAATTATCATTAGCTGGCCCAAAAGCATCTAATGAATTCATAACTGCTCTTAAAATGTAAACTTAAGAGATTTTCCATCTCTTCAGTATTCTCTTCCTGTAAAGGACTTTCATCTGCACTTTCCAACCCTCATAAAGCCTTTCCCTGATATAAGTCACCTGTGGCTACAACATATTAAAGCTCATTCATCATCACCTACACTTAATAAACCCACAGTGATGAAATAAACTCTGCTGATAAAAGGTTGATTAGATAAGCATTGCACGTAAGAATAAAACTGTAGATAAGAAATCCAGCAAAGTGAAAGAAAAACCTGAATTGTCTCCACAAAGACAACAGGACCATGACATTTGGATCCAACCTTTTCCTCACTACCAAGTGAAAAAAGTCCTGCTGTGAAACCAGCTGCTGACTGTCAATTATTTTAAGAGCATAAAGCTTTACGTGGTTAGAGAGGAAAGGCCAACAGAACATATTAATCAGTCCATTCATGAGGAAACTGAATAGCTTAGATACAGCATGTCCCTTCAGTGTCCAGCTTGTCACACACAGTCCCTGATCTACTGGCTACCAAGGGCACAGCTCAAGCACCTTCTACTATTGCACAAATTAGACTCAGACATGGGCAGAAGTCAAGCAGAACAAGGCACCCTCATTCAGCCTGTCCAGAAATAATCAGCATTGGGAATGCTGTGCATCTCTGCATTTTGGTTAAACTTCATGTTAAATATTATCCACTTAAGAATTAATATTTCTAAAGTTTATTAATTTAGGAGTCAATACTACATTGAAAATGAAAAAGCTTTTATAGGACATTGGTTCTTCATTAGCTAAGTTACTTTTTAACTTAATGGACTAAGTTGCAGTGTATATTTCAAGCACTTAAAAACCTTTGAGCATTCAAAAGGTGAAATGTTTTTCAATTTTCAGCAGAAATTCTACACATCAAGTACACAGTAATAACCACAAAAAGAACAATAGTAACAGACAAAAAGCAATTTCCTTTATATAGTCCACAATACTTCTCAAGATATTACAGCATAAAGGTTAAAGCCAAGGTTATGATCATACAGAACTGCCAAAGGAACCAGTTCCTTCAGCTCCACCCTGCACCAAAAATTAAATTAAATTCTCAACTTATCCCATTCTATTTCACACACGTTCACCCTTGCAATAATGCCTAAGACCTAATGGAACTGTCCACAAAGATATTACCTGTTATTGCAGCTACTAATGCTGACACAGAGGAGTACTAATGCAGGGAAATCCCAAAACACTCTTCATGGTGGGTGCCATTGGCTGTGAGCCTCATCCACTCAAGCATCAGAGCACAACCTGACCCAGCCCAGTGCTGCAGACCATGAAAAGCTGACTGCTGTGCAACTGAAAGGTCTTTAACAGCAACCACCTGTACAAATCAAATGCTAGCCCCACAAAATAACTGCTGCCTATTTTATAGAAAGTCTTTTCTGAAAATGACCTCACTAAAATATAGTCAACATATGTAAATAAGCTCCAGGAAAAATTTATGTATTATCAAATAAATGTAGCATCACCATAAGAACACCTCAAGGTATAAAGACTGACGCTTGGAACACGTATACCTAAATTTCTTTAAAATTTAAATTTTAATAAAAAACCAAATTTATCAGGTTCCAATTTTATTAAGCAGATAATATTAAAGAGATTTAAAAATATTTAAATTCGTGAGATTATTTAATTAAATTACTTAGATTATTTAAATTATTATTTAATTAAATAGATTTTTCATTTTTAAAAAATAATAAAATAATGAAGAATATTGCATATTATCATTGCTACTCAGCCAACTGCAGCTAAAACTTCACAGACTTTGTCCACAAGAGATCTCAACATAACAGAGTAAATCAAATCAACACTATCTCCTGGGTAAGTCAGCTGGATCAGGACAAAGATTTATCCTGCTGCTTCATAAAGAATTCAGCATCTGGCCAGGAGATTGTTATAAAAAAATCCTCACACAGCCTTCCTGAACCAGCAAGCAGAGCCTGGAAGAAGCCAAGGGAAAGATGACTACAAGCCAACATTATCTTTAAGCTGATTTTCTCTTGAGTGAAAGCAAGACAGGCTTTCAAATCAGGCACTATTTGCAGATGCCAAACCAGGATGAGAACATTAAGCAATAGTGACTTTTTTTAATTAGTTACTAAACAAATTACAAAACCCTATCTAAGAAAATATCCAAAAGTCTCCAGGAAGAGGGAAGTCTAAAAACCATTTAACCTTTCTCTTAGATCCACGTAACAAGAAAAGCAAGTCACGTGTAGGAACCCAAACTGGTTCCTACCTAGGAGTTGAAGCAATTACTAGTCTGTTGTAATAAAAGGATTTTTCTTCAATTTAAGAAAAGAACAAAGAAAAATTTTTCACTGTGTAGCTTTAATGTTACAAACATAGGAAAACTTAGAAATCAAGGTGCCTGAGGTAAGAGCAGTTCTTCTAACTTGAGCTCTTCCTTGCCAAGAGACTGAAGTTGTCCACAAAGGCACTGTTCTCCTAGATAATTACCATTAGAACAAAGCAGCACCTCCAGTGTATCAAAGTTTATGGTTTAAAAGAAAGCACTCAAGAACACATTACTCATATTATACTTATACACACAAAAAAAAGAAGAACAAAGACTATAATGGAAAATCCTAAAATAACATGCTGCTTTAATTCACAACTGTTACTGGAAATCTGGCAAAAAAAGGAAACACTGGGACTAATTACTCCAAAGGAATGAGCTGGCTGAGGAGCCTATAGCACTAAAAGCACAGCATTTTTATGGAATCCATCTGAAAAATAAGACATTGCATCACCTAATTGTGCTCTCTAAAAATTACCTTGTCTCCACAAAAGCAAATCCTTTAAGTACTTATTTAGGTACAGTTATATTTCATCATGGAGGTTCTTTCTTTCCTGTAACATTTTAGGAGTGTGGTTTAGCTGCTTGATCCCAGAATATTGTTGTTTATTCCAGCAGAAAAGAACTGAAAACTTTCAGGAAAGCTTCTATTGCCTGCTACTATTCCCATCATCTTTACAGCAGATATAGCAGACATGCAATCCAAAACTGGACATGGACAATAGAATGTCAAGAACCTGACATGCAGAATAAGTTTCTATAAGTAACAAGTTAACCCTGCTAAAGGTTCCCCATGCCCACCATGCCAGGGGTTTTACTGCTGTCTAGAACACTTTCAGCAGCCAACAGTAAAAGCCTTTGGTAGACTGATCACTACAGACAAGTAAAGCATTGTGGTTAATCCCTTATGAAACCACACATTGCTCTGTCCTCCAGCTCTGTCCTTCAACAATGAGCTTTGCCTATGATTCCCATGAAGGGCTCTACACTCACAGCTTCCCAGACCCAAATGAAACAGTTAGACAAATTGTACAGTTACTCTAAATTAGAGAATAAAAAAAATAATAATTCCCACATTAGCATTTCGGGCTTTATAGAAAACACACGTCAGTTACTCACAAAGAGTCTCTCCACATCATCTCTGATAAGCGGAAAAATCTCCTCTGTTCTTCATGCACCTGTAGTCAAACAGAAAAGAACTGAAGCAGAGTCACAGACAGACATCCCCAAATAGCACCTGGCTCTCTGATCCCAAGGATTTTCACAAAACAAACCAAGATTTGTTCCAAACATTCACACATAATCCGTTTCCCCATTTCACTTACTTTCTCTGCTAAAATTACAGAGATGAAGGGGCACAAAAGCAAGAGAAGTGCTCCCTGTTTGCATGCATTAGGCTGCTCTTTGCTGTGGAAACAAGGATGAATTATGAAAACTAATCAAGTGAACAGAGAGCACATGCCCTAGATTTTTCAAATAATCTCTTGGTTTAACCCAGTTGTTCCTGAGCCTGCCTATCCCATGAACAATTTACTAAAATGGAAGCTGTGACTCATTAAAGGCACCTTTTAAGGGAGAAACAGCTCAAATTATTTATAAGCAAGACGTAATCACATTAATTTGTACAGAAGAGGCCAAAATCTTAATGACTTCCATTTCTAAGATCTAATACAGTTGATAAACTCCTAATTCATTTTTTCTTATGTCTCAGAAGTATGGTATCTTACAGCCTTTAACCAAAATGAAAGACTACAGACTATGTTCTGGCTTGTGAAATCATACTTCCATTTGAAGGGACAGTGAAAAAGTTGTAACATTTCTATTTGCTGACATTTATTTATTAGCAAACATTGCAAAATATAAACTATGCAATACCCCTGAAAAGAGCCACACTTCAGATTTTTGGTCTTTTATACATTTTACATTTATAAACATAATTGAATGATAAAAACTTAGAAGCTATATGCATTTGGTATTTCTTTAAAGCAATTTGCTATTAATTCACAGCCCAAAGAAGAAATTCCTTTTTCTTAGTCAATACTTCAAAGATACAGAAGCAAATTTTTAGATAAAGTCACAGGGGCAGTTTATATATAACAGAAAATAAAAGCGTCTGCAAATCATCCTCTCCCCTTCAAGTGCTCTGTACCATGACATAAAATTTTGACTTCAGAGAGTAGACATAAGCTCTCCTAATTTAAGAGCCTGTCTAAAATCTTATTTTGCTAAAGCAGACTGAGACAATTTAGTGGAAAGAAATAGCACACAGTATTTGTAAGCATGAATTATAAATTCAGTGTATGCTTTGCAATACTTTAAACATGCCACAACTGAGACAGCATCAAACAGAATTGTTTAATAGCACCTAACTTGCCCACTCCCTCCCACTGATACTACAGCAGCTGGCAGAATAAAGTGGTTGTTAACTCTTGGTGTTGCTTACACCTCAGGACATCCTCTTGTTTCAAATAAACTTAAGGTTCTCCTCTGTTAAAGAAATTTGCTGAGTGAATGGGATGGGTTTTATCCATCCTCTATTACCAAACTAGCATTCAGAAAGTGCCACATCACCTGAGCTGTTCTGCTACCATCATTTATGAAGTCCTGTGTGATATGTAGTGTGGTGACTGCAATCAGGATGGGTCTTTAAATCTCAGTCCTTGTTTTACCAACCTGTGGACATTACACAGGCTTTTCTAACGAGACCAACACATTACACAACAGGACCAAGGGATCCAAAAATTCTATGCTAAAACAGAACTTTCCATACTCAGAAAAATTTTAGTTAATTTTCATCTTTAACAATAGAGCTTCTCTCATCCTCAGTGTTGATTCTACATTCCCAGCATACAAATATCAGAAATTCACATCTCTGCTTATACCTTTGCCACAGAAAGGACAAATCTGATCACCAGTACAAACTTGCAACCCCCTGCCAAGAGCTGAATTTCTCACTACCGTGCAAGGTCCTGAGGTTTGCAGGGTTTGCTCTTGCAGCTGCTGTTATATTTTGCCATTACTCTTTCAGAAATGCCAAAAGAAGTACGTAAATTAATGAATAAGGATTCATTTCCTATGTAAACCATTACATTTGTTCTAACCATCTTCAGCCTGAATTCAGGAAAACAATTTAAAAGAGGAGTGGTTGGGACCCATGCAAAATTGTTCAGCATTCCTGAGAGCTACTTCTAATTCCAACTCCATAAAGCAAACACACTACATGCATTGTCATATGCCACTGAATGCAACTCGTGTGGTGGATACCCTGTGAAGCTTTTTTTATGCCTGTAATTCATCTGTCAGGAAGCTCTAGACTATTCAGGGTTGATAGTGCACGCTGCTTTTGTAGGTTACTTGTATCAGTTACAGCCAACCCTTCAGAAACAACAGCAAATGAGTGACACAAGTCATGCCAAGGAGTGACAAAGTGTGCAGGGCACAGCCCAGGAAGCCATTAAATGCACAAGCCCACACATCCTCAGGGGCAAACGTGAGCACACAGGCACTATGAGAAACACTCATCAGGTCAGAGGCCAGACCTCAGCAAACATCACTCCGACAGCAGGCAAGCTGGGTTTAAATGATTGTCAGAAATCACAAAGCAGATGCTGGGACTTAGCCTGACCTACAGTGGTAACACAGTCCTTCCTGCAGCACAGCAGACAACCTGAATCAAAAACTAACAAAACACAGCTGCCGAAAACCAGAGCGCTCGTGAAACGCACGGGAACAAGAGGCTGAGCTCTCGCTTGGGAACACCACTGAGGGCCACAGCCTCATGCTGCTTAGTTTCACCCAACCACCCCTTGCCTACCTTGTGCTGGACCAAACCACCAGCTGCACAAGCCACCAGCAAACAGCTGTGAGGGGACAAGCAGAGCCAGCACGGCCAGTGCTGCCTCCCTCCAGAGGGACAGGGAGATGCTGCTCTCCAGGCAGCAGCAAATCCCCAGCATCCACTGGGCAAAGAGAGAAGGAAGCAGCACTGTCCCTTCCAGCAGCAACTGATTAAATCTGACATTGAACTGCACTCTTAAAGGAATGGCTCTAATCTGTAAATAAGTAATAAGATAATCTCTCTCTAAATACAGAGAACATACACCTAAAAAAGTATTATCATCTTAGAAGTCGAATGCAGACTAGCCTGATGCAGGCAGTTTTCAGCATGGACTTCGTACACGTTTCTGGAGAATAGCACAGCCTCCCAGTTTTTATAACAGGCATCAGAGTTGCATTACTCAAGAGCACCATTACCCTATATCAACTATCACCTGATAATCATTACCAAGTAAAATAATTTTCTAACTTCCACCCATAAGCCAGCAGTATATAAGTATTTAAACATTTTCTGTAAAAACTGAGTCCAGACACAAAAGAAACCCTATATTATAGACTACAGAAAATACAACTTAAGCTACCAATTAGCTTCAGTCAGAGTGCTGCATTTTGAAAAACTCAGTGTCATAAAGGAAGCCAACAATCAAAATACAACTTTAGGTGGCAGAACACATCTTATCCTAATGGAAATTTTGCAGTTGTGAAGAAGTCTTACCCACCAAAAGCAGTACTAACATGTTTGTCAACTGCAGTTACAGGATGGCCTTCATTAATGTACTTTAAAAATGTGTTTGATAAAAATTTTATTCAACATATTCTAGAAACTCAAAATAAAACAAGCTTCAGCACGTTCACACAAGCTTAGAAGTCTGCAGTAATATTTCAAGTATTAAAAAACCCCAAGCTTCTTGGTATAGCATTTCACTCACACAGAAAGAGAAAACAGTTCCCTGAAGCAGATGGAGTCATTAATACACCACGTATAAATCACACCTAAGTAAAACACCTGCAGATTAAAATGGTACCAAAGGCAAGAAGAAAATGCTGTGTTGTATTGAATAGCTGTGCTAAGCCTAACAGACCTCGGTTGGATGCCCTTATATTATACTCTTAACACTGGGAGCTTCAGCAATTACAGCATAGTGCAACCCAGTCCCAAGGAATGAATGGATTTCTCTCCCATTCCCTTGAGCATTAACGAGATCATCTTCCCACACTGCAATCCCAGCCTGGGACCAAAGAGAGGGGAAAAAGGAATAGGCTACAGACAACACACCACAGTGACAGTGAGTCTAAGATGCCAGCACAGGGAGGGGACAAGGATGCAGCAGGGACCAGTGCCCCAAAACACAAGAAAGCAAGTGTGAGACAAGCCAGCTCCCTGCGAGAGCCACAATGACCTGACAGGTTAGCGACTCACCCGGGTTCACATCAGCTCTGGTCCTGGACAGCTGCACTGCTCTGTCTCTTCTGCCCTTGGCTCAAACATCTGCATCCTCTTGTCATCCCCAGCTGCAGACCCAAGCATTGTTCAGAGCTGTGCACAGCACCCAGATTGTCTGTCAGTGGCAGCTGCCCAAAATGCTGTTGTCCTCCTACGGTTGCTCCTATGGCCACAATGCAGAGCAGGCCCCTACCAGTGACAATGCCCACAACTCCTGTTGTTTGCTGTGGGCAGACCACAAAGCAACTTCCATGCCACCCCTCTCCCAAAGGTAATGTGAGCTTCTGCCTCTATGCTTATGACTGGAGGAAGGTTTTTAATCATTATCTCCCAAGAGGGCTAGCAGTACAAAGTTAGGAGTTCCATTCTCCAGGAACTCTGTTCTGGACAGTCTGTGTCACAGACTCAGAGGCACCAACTGCTGCTCTGGAAGCGTTAATGAAAAGGCCAGTTCACATCAGATGGGAAACAAGTGATAAAAACAGGAAGTAAAAGTCTGAGAAGCCTCCTAGTAAAACAATGCACACACACTTCAGCAGACTTCACAAGATTCAGAAATCTTCCAGCCTTCACAAGCGACTCCTGGATAGCCAGTGTACATTACCTGGCAATAAAAGCAAAAAAAGTTCACAACATTAAAGCCCATTTCCCCATCTTCTGCTGTAAACCTTTTGGCACCCTCTCCTACATCACATACCAGAGTATCAGAACCACCTGCATCACTGAGAAATTGAATCCTTGGTATTTCCATATTGCTACTATTCAAGTATCCTTATGACAAGGCACCTTGGAATCACTTTCCACTGAACTCCAAGCATTCCCACCTGTTGTTATTTCCATCAACAATGTCCTTTACCTGGAGGCTTCTCCTAATCCATATATGCAAATAAAGGCCTGAGAAAAATGCTCCTAGATGAAGTTAGTCAGTATGATTTCCAACAGCAATCACTGTTAGCAAGCTTCCTAATTTTGCAGCGCTGTTATGGGCAAAGGTGGAAGCTAAGAGAACACCAGGCTGCAGATAAACTTAGAAGCATTAGTTTTCCTTTATTTTCTTTCTAAAGCTATTCTGAGCAGACCTTGAAATGGCACAAACACTGAACTGACAATTCAGGACACACTAGGTCAGAAATGCAGCCAGAGCACAACAGAGCACACACCACTCACTGTCTTATCATAAGGCTCACAAATGACATGAGAGCTGAGCAGGATGCACTTCACATGTTGGTCATTCAGCTTTAATTAGTGGCATATGGATGTTTTCTAACACAAGAGCTTTAAAAGCAAAATGAGGTTTGGATTTCTGATCCTTGTGCTAGAAATGGACATTAAGGACTTCCCAAACACAAGGATCTTGAACACCAGTACAACAGTCCAGCTTTTTTGGTTCAAATAACCACCTTGAAGGAAAGACCAGAAGAGAAGCCATGCAACATTTAGATAACTGATTAGCAGGGAGCAAAAAAACTCAGGATCATTCTAGATGTCCCAACCTCTCAGGCAGTGAATTTGCTAAATAAGACAGTTCAAAATGAAGCAATATTTTACCTCTGAGCAGCGCAGCTTAAATTGTGAGCTCAGTCAATCCACGATCAGAAAAAGTAAATTGAAGCTTTAGCTGCATTCTGGAAAAAATTCAAAGCTATTTAATATTCTACAAATATATACATTTACCTTTCTCAGGCAAGCTGAACAAACGTCTCAGAAAGCCAAAAGTAATCAGTCTTAGCAGAATCTGCTTGGAGTTACATACCCTACTTTGTACAAAGCACTAAGCTTCCTGTGTCTTTATCAGCTCTCCTAATAAAGAACACATCAGCTCTGTGATTTGATCTACAAGAATTTAACAAATATAGTTTGTTCATCAAAAGAGTCCAGATATTTTCAAGATATTCACAGTGTCTAACATCTCAAGTATATAAACCAGCTTTTGAAAGACCTTGGAAAAAAACTGTTCCCACAGAAGAATTAAACAATATATGGTCAGAGTCCTACAAAAGAAAATAAAATATTTTTTCATTTGAACATTTGCATGTTAAGTATTTACACTCCTGTGAAGAGTTGAGATTACAGGAGTTTTCAGGAGATGTACATTTCCAATGGACTAGTCCAAATTATTTTATGTAACAATACAAAAGCCTTCTAATTTCTGTCCCAGTGAAGGCTGACAAATTGTGGAAGTTTTCCACAGACACTGTTGACACTTTACAAACATATTACTCACCCACACAGTCTCTCAAGTAATCTATTTTGTACCAGGAAAATTAATCAGAATAATTTTCAATGTGTTAATTTAAGGATGTCTACTGCAACATCTGGAAAAGGCTATGTAAAGAGTACAGAGCATGTACATACATGAATATTTAAGCATCCTTCAAACTAGGAAGTCTCAGGCTACCAACAACAGAAAAATATCTGAATATTTGGATCAACACTCAAGAATATCTTCAAAGCTATCTTGCTTTCTTGGCTACACAAACTGCTTGATCAACCTCTGTTACACACTAAGTTTCATATAAGAAAAGCACCACACAAAATTCAGCCAGGAAAGCTCAGACTGAAGACCTAATCAGCCAGGCTACCTGTCTAACAGCAGGCAATTCAAGAGCAGTGGCAGTGAAAGGACACTGCCTTCTGCAGCTTCCCTCTGTCAGGGTTTTAGGGACTTCCTCCCACAAAGAGTGTCTGGAATTCAGCCTTGAGCACTTCAAAATTCACTTTTTTCTTCCACTAATTTGTCTAATCACATTTCAATCTAATTTGCACTCAAGATATCCCATTACAATGGAGTCTTGATATAATTATACACTGGGTAACAACGGAGTCTCACAATATAATTACACATTACAGGAAAGCATCCTTCAGCTACCACCTCAATAATTTCCTAGTGCACCACCCATAGCAGCTTCCCACCTCCAATGTCATACTGACTGCAGAGGCTTCCCCACTACAGTTTCCCAGAGAATGCTCCCCTGCTGGTCCTCCCCTCTGACCTACTGTTCTGCCTCTTTACTGCCTGCAAAGCTGGGAGCACCTCCACACCCAGCTACACAATGTGTGCCTGGTTGTGTTAATGGAACAGGAATGGTTTCACTGGGGTTTAGTCACTAAAAGAAAATTATTTGCATACACAAAGTATCTCAACTTTCTTACTGTTCATGGCAGGATCCCAGGGCTATGTTTCGCCATTCCCAAGCAGTCCAGGTTAATTTTGACATCTAGAACAAGGTTTGGGAAGAGAAAAAAATTGTCACACACGTTTGCACACTATTATCCGCTGTAGATGTTATTTTAAAGAACTGCAGGGCACAGCATCTCCAACAGAGTTAACTATTGGCTTCTGCAGCCCTTTGAGCTCTGTCTCTAGTGTGAGTGGAAAATTGGATAGCTCCACTTCTTGCCTGAAGGGAAAGTTCACATAACTCACTAAAAATCTGTGGCATCCTGCTCTTTTCCATGTGTATGGAATATTTCATACAGCATCCCACAAGATCACAGCTCCATATAAAAATCTATTTCAACAGTAGCACTGAAGAAAAAAAGTCAGATCTAATTTTTGGTTTGAAGCTACTCAGGCAGACACTGTTTCAGAATCACAGCCACCACTTCATGTCAATCACTAAGTGCATACAAGCCACAGGAGGTACACAAGTCCTAACAGAAGTAAAACCTTGCAGCATGATCCCAAGCCAAGCCCCCTTCTCAGAAATTCCCCCCAGCAGCTGTTACCACAGCAGGAAGCTCTGGCTGGGCTTGCACAGAGAGCACCAGTCACAGCAGAGCTGAAACAGCACAAAGTTCCAGTGAAAAGTCATCTTACAGCCATGAACATTGGCATAGAGGGATTTAGGAGACACTGCACTTCTTTTTAATGCTGAAAATATAGCACAATCAATTTGAAAGGAAAACAGCAAGCAGTTACCCCAAAACACAAGGAGCAATCAGCAGTTCTGTTATTTGCACTGGCATTAATTTTTTTAAAATTCATTCTAACGTAAAGCAGAGTGAAGAAATGCTGGCAATAACGCTGCTGGCTTTCATTTCCTCTGCATTTCCTCTCAGAAAAGAAGAAACCAAAAACATTGCACTTGGTAAACCACATTCTCACACCGTCAGCACCAGAAAGTGAGGGTCACTCCTATAATTCAATGAATGAACAGTATTTTTTTCAATTACAAGCCCTTGCCAATCAAATAATTCATCCAGTTAAAACACTAAAGCAATATTAACAACAAAATCACATAGGAAAGCGCAGGTTAACCAATAATAATGGATCAGAAGCACTATGGACATTTAAACTTCTTAACCAAAACAAAGGGTTTGCCTGAAGATAAGGGGCTACGGAAGTCTTATTTTATGAAGCTTTTAGTACTCCTTCTTAAAATGTGTCAAATTATTTTGCTTTTATATATGCACAGCTATGGATGGCAGCCATCAGAATGATTGATGTTCCAGAACTAAAATACCATTGTGTCAGAAATGACACACAATCCACCAGGAAGCCTCTCACACAGTTTGTTTTTTGCTTTGGTGAAGAAGGCCAGAAAGACACAAAGTTAGAAAGTAGTTTCTGATGGTTTCTTACTCCCCTTAAAACCAGCAGTAAGATCCAGCTGCCCCCCCATGCCCTATGAGCACATTTTGCCCAACCTGCAGGGTGGCAGAGCCGTGTCAGGCTGCTCCAGTGACACACGAGCATTACACTGCAGGGCCTTGTGAAAGGCTCTGAGTAACAAAAAACTCAAACAACGTCAGACTTGTTAGACACATCTGGGATGGCACTGAAACAATAAAGTCAATACAAATACAGCATTTTCTCCTCTGACCCATTCATTTTTTCCTCCTCCCATTTCTTTTTCTGCCATTATTTATTCCTGACTCTTTGTTTAGGACCGTGAAGTGCTGTCATGCAATCTCTTACCTTCACATTCATGTTTTCCAGCCCAACTCCCTCCTACCATTAATTTTACTAATGAATAAACAATCTGAACTAGTAGTGGGAACTGGTTACAACCAAAACGTGGACTCTTCTGTACACACGTGGGGAAGACACGGCACTGCTGCAGAGCAGCCCCTCACCACATGCCCTGGCACCAGGCAGCACCACCACAAGGGTGCCAGCACCCGGCTTCCACATGAAATATATCTAAATTTAGTCACTTCTTTCACTCCACACCCGCAGTTCATTACAGCCTAACCAGAAAAAACACTATTTCTCATGAGGATCTTGAGGTATTTTCTTATTTCAGCTGTAATCGCAGGGTTATCTGCAGGGAGAAACACATTTCTGCCTCCAAGCAGCCCTTCAGCTTGTGAACCTCTGCCCTAGGTTTGGGTCTCCTCCTCTAGGAACAGCTGTGCCATGGAAGAGCTCAGCACCCTTGGCTGCTTGTCCCTGCTCTCTGCCATAAGACTCCAGCTGAGCTGCTCTTAAGTACTTTCTAACCTATTTACTCAGGATCAACCAATACAAAGAGTGATTATTTAGGCTGTTAAAACCACTCCAGCTTATTTTGGTTGACATTCTGCAGAACAGCTCACATAAATGTCTAAGCTGCCAGAATTAAGGTTTACAACCCCCTTACTGAAATATTTTCTGCTCCTACAAACTAGGAATGGTATCCAACAGCAAAAGAAAGCCAGCAGCAGACAAGAAATCCCTGCTGTCATCCCAAAAGAAGCCAGGGCATTTGGCACACTCATCACCGAATAAATCAATTTTAAGAGCAGGACAACTCCAGGGTACATCTGCTCAGCCCTTTCTCTCAGAGAAGACATAACTTGGAGTTCCATGAGCCAGATGTAAGCACCTACAATAACACTTAACACAAACCCCTGCCCTTGGAGGAAGGCAAGACATGCTATGCTGATAAAAGTCCACCATATAGCCTTAAGGCTACAAGAAAGAGAAAAAATGTTACCACCACAGGCCAGACTACTTGCTTACTAAGGTCTTACCAACAGCTGCAACTGTTCCTGTATACAGTCATACCCACCCCCACCCACTGCCACCAAACCCCAGAAAAATAACCAGTGGAAGAAAAGACTACATCAGCATAGCAAGATTTGGGAAGAGAACAGAAACTGCCTTTTTGTTCTGCACATGGGAGGCGCTGTCATAACAAGGTCTTGGTGCATCTCTGTGGCTCTTAATTATCATCAAGCAGACACACCAGCTGGAACACTGTGATAAAAAGGAATGGCAGTAGGAACATAAAATCTCAGAGTCCTTACCTTCTTGCTAAAGGGAAGTGTTAGGGGGGTTGTACTATGGTTCATTTAAAGCCTCACAACAAACTCCTCCACATATCAAAATTTAAATTAAGACAAGGTACTAGAGCATCCCTGAAAAAATATTTGCAAAGATACAGGCCAGGCTCTCTTGTAGTAAGTGGTACCACCAACATCACTGAGATAAATGATGAGATAACAACACTTCTACCAACCCCAAGACAGATGATAACATGATCATCTCATTACTCTTATCCTTTAAATAACAGAACTCTGTTTGGACATTAAAGACAGAATTCTCAGACTCAGGAGTAAAATATGGCACCAAGCCTCACCTGGATCACAAAACTCCCTACAATAGTCCTTTTATCATTACAGATGTCAGTGTTTGGTACCAATAAGGAATAGAGACAGTCATTGCTGGCACATTTACTTCCCAACAAATGTGAGCAACCAAAAGAGACTGGTCAGATTTGCAGAGCCACCAAGGGAGCAGCGTAAGGCAGCTCAAGCAACCTGGTAAACTCAATACTGCTGACTTATCTATATTTATCCTTTGATTCCTTTGTAGTTTAAGCATTTAATTCCTAATTTCCAGCTTCAATGTGTAAGCTTGCAAAGTCTTTTGTTTGTATGTCTCATAGGACATACACCCTGGTGGAAATACTTTAATTCCACTATATAAAAACAAGCTTTACTTAGAACAGCAAACACAAGAGCCCAGATTAAATTTCTAACCATAAAATCATTGCTATCCTATAAATTGAAGACTGAAGAGAGCAAAACCTGTAATATTGTTCCTGTTAAAAACTTACAACATAAACAAGCAATAAAATACAGTTGTTAATAAGTGTCAGCAATACAACCTGACATGTATTTTGTAACTTGTAGTTGCTACTACTTAAGTTACTCACTAACACTGAGATGAAAGATGATGGGGGGTGGTGGGTATAAACTATTAATGCAAGTCTTCCACAATTCTGGCACCATGGTGGATAATCAGCTTCTAAAAAAAAAAGAAATATATATACAGAACACATGCCCACGTCTGTAGGATTCTAGTGCTGCTCGCAGCTTTCTTTAAATAACGGATGTGCTACTCACTTCCTCAATTATATTCAAAAACTGTGGGCAGCCAAAAGCTTGCCCAGAACCACGTGTTTTGTAACACTGAAACTGGTTGAGTGTCAGACACTGAGAAGCCAAAAGTTGACAAGGCAGAAGAGCAACCCATTTCTCCCTCTTGGCTCCCTTCAAGAGCTATCTTGCTGACAGATACCTTCAAGTTATCTGTCAGCAAGATGCAGGGCAATGTTTGAACCCTCCAGAACTAAGAAAAAGTTTTCTCCCTTCCTTAATGTAGTGTAGAATTTCTGCTTTAATAAAAATATTTACCTGAAAACATGAATTTAAGTGTTACATGGATCATTCAGCTTCCTCACAGATGGAAAGCTAATTGGAGAACAGCAATCCCAGGAAGGGTTCTTTAATGGCATCTGGAAACATGACAAGTTTGAAGTGGAAGCAATGCCCTGGTCCTGCTGAGCTGAGTTTGATACTCCATCCTCAGCATCTGCTGGGAGAAGCTGTGCTGTTTTCCCTCCACTCACCTCCTGACATGATTCCTGCCTCTACCTGCAAGAGCAGTAGCAAGGTGTAGCCACAGGGTGAGTTAGCAAACTCATAAAAACATTTCTGAGTGGGTAGGTTTCCCATGAGCTAAGCAGCATGAAAGAAATCATCCCGCAATCACTGAAGCATTAGCTCTGCCAATGGAGCTGCCCCAGGAGATCAGGGCACAAGGCAGGAACACCCAGAGGCACATTTGATGAATTACCTGCAGCACCAAACTGTTCCCAAAGTCTCCAGCATCAGATTTTGCTGTCTGAGTATGAATCTTCTGCTTAATTTTCAATCCCTAACAAGTTTATGAAGAAGTTTGAAATCTGAAATATTTTGCATTGTTTTCTTACAGAATTATTTTCAAAT